TGAGTTCTCAGATGCTATGTTGTCAGTTGGGGCAGTATCGTGCTTTCCTGTAGCTGAAGTGGAGAAGTCTTTATTATGTAAAGTGGACTAGCTCAGGCTTTTAATGGCTCATTGACAAAGTGGGGATGGGCAGAAGCTGCAGGCAGCTATTCTGTGATTTAAAACATGTTTCTTTCTTTTCACATCCAGAGAAATATTCTGCCTTTTCAATATTTCCTAGGATATTTCATTTTTCTGGGAGAGGGCTGGGTGATAATTTCCTACAGAGCCATAGAGTCTATTTGGGTTTATTCAATAAACTCAGGATACCATGATATGCAATCTCAGCCTAACATTCTTTCTCTTAAACAGATATGTACAGCAACTGGATTAATGTTGATTATTAGACTTTTCATATTTCCAGACAAGGCTTTTGATGCACAATTGTTCCCCCTTATGCATAAATATTTTCTATTACTTTTTTCCCTTTAAAGACCATGTTTTTCCACCATTAAGGAATAAATCTATAAAGAGTGAAGAAGAATAGTTGCTTAATGCCAATTGTTTTATGGTACTATCAACTATATATATGGAAAGACCCTTGCAGTAAATCAACAAAACCCTTTGAGTCCCTACTGTTTAACTGTTCAGTTAGGGAGCAGACAGATCTTGAAAAGCTAAGTAGGGTTGACTGTTGTTAGTACTTGGATAGAAAACAAGAGGAAATGCCAGATGGAAGACTAATCTGGGAAGAAAAGTGTGGAATAAGACAATAAAGAGCCATATCTCTATTGTTGCCAAAAATCTATATGGCCATCATGAAGCCATAGGAATTGAGTGGTATGCATGTCTATGGTATGCATTAATACTTAACCTTGTCATTCACTAGAAAGTCTGAAAATGAGAAAATCAAGAATAGAGTTTTATGTTCACTGTGACATTGATCACAAATACCTGCACTAAATATGCATTCAGAGTAGTGGTGAAATTCAAATGTTTTTACTACCTGTTCTATGGGCGTGGCTTGGTGGGTGTGGTGTAGCTTGGTGGGTGTGGCTTGGTGGGTGTGGCTTGGTGGGCATGGCAGGGGAAGGATACTGCAAAATCTCCATTCCCACCCCACTCTGGGGCCAGCCACAGGTGGCATTTGCCAGTTCTCTGAACTACTCAATATTTCCCCTATCAGTTCTCCAAACTACTCAAAATTTTCGCTACCGGTTCTCCAGAACCTGTCAGAACCTGCTGGATTTCAACCTTGATTCAGAGGCAGGATGTTCCTTAATTCTTAGATCAGAGTATGAATTTGTATTATGAACTAACTTTGTTCATCTCTATTGATCAAATGCATCAATCTTACCTCAGGTGCATAAATACTTGGGTGGACAGGAGAGGATTAGACATCCATACAGAAGTGAAGTGGCAAAATCATAGAGAATAAATATTACATTGATCTTGTATTACAGCATATTCAAATTGAACATAGTGACCTTTTCCAAGTGTATTGTAGAATCGTCTTAGTCTACTTGTGTTTGTGTACCTTTGTATTAGTGTTGACTCCTGGTCACTGCCTGGAAAAGTCCTGCAGTTTTCTTGGCAAGATTTCAGAAGAGGTTTCCCACTGCCTGTTTCCGAGGGCTGAGGGAGAATGATTGGCCAAGGTCAACAAATGTCTTTGTGCTTAAAGCAGAACTAACATTCAGTCTCCTGGTTTCTAGCCTGATACCTTAACCAGGAGATCATGGCTTGGCAACCTTAAACACTCAAAGAGCCACAAAGAGCCTAACTGGAAACCCCCTGTTCAATTCTGTAGCCAACCAGCAGTCCGATTCCCCTATCATAGGGTCTCCTCCTAGCGCAGCATCCTTTTTCCTTTCCAACCAGAAGTCTGGTCCCGTCCCCCCCTAGGGTCTCCTTCTAGCACGGTGTCCTTTTTCCTCTACCTGTCCTAACTGGAAGCCCTATCAATTGTGGAGCTGACTGGTGATAGGGAGCCGCAGCAGAGGGATGAAAGAGCCACATGCGGCTCCAGAGCCATGGGTTGCCAACCCTTGCATTAGACCAAACTGGCTCTAGTGGCATGGTAACTCCACACCAGGAATCAGCAATCTATAGTGCTTTTTCAGACTAATGATGTTATACTGTTTTATTTAAAAGCATACATCTCTATGGTATGAAATGAACTGCCGTGAGTGAAAACTTATGACTTTAAATAAAATGTTTGAATCCAAAAAAGGTGCTACCAGACTTCATTTAAACAAAGAAGTCTGCCAGCCTCCAAAGTTGTCTGATATACATATTATATGAAAGATGCAGTATTGGTATCAAATATACCATCTGGTTTAGAACGAGCCTTTGCCCTTTAACTACATATCATCAACAGAAAGGTCTGAAAACAAATTATTCTAAAACTAAAATTTTCATACTTGTCCAATGCCATAGAATCTGTGCTTGGTGGGTAATAGACACCTAAAAATGTTTCAAATGTTAAATATTTGGGGATAATACTTTACTATTCTAGTAAGTATAGGGCACATTGAGTGCAACTTCAAAATTCCCCCCAAATTATCAATACCCTGCATTTTTTCTATTATTCTACGTGAGCATTATTTATGCTGGGTATTCTTTACGTATTTGAAGCAAAAACTCATCTATGTCTTATTTTGTGATCCATTTAGATCCTTTAGGTTCTTTTGCCTCCTTGAGCAAAGCACAATCTAAATTCCCAAGGGTTATTTTCCAAATGGCAGGAAATGTGCCTAATGTGATCTTTTGTCATGATTCTGGGTATGATTAGAGAAAGAGTGTCAAACTCAGGTTGTCACAGCGTCATGACGTGATGTATCAGAACTTTTTTCCTGTTTGCTAAACCGGGCATGGCCAACGCGTGACGCATCTGTCCCGCGGGCTGGGAGTTTGACAGCCCTGGATTAGAGTGAAAAACCAGCATTCAGTTATACATATTTTGGTTGAAAGTATTGTTTTTCCTGTGACGCATCTGAATCCTCTTCAGCTGTGTTTCAGGCCAGTGGTGAAATTCATTTTTTTTTTTTACTACTGATTCTGTGAGCGTGGCTTGGTGAGCATGGCAGGGGAAGGATACTGCAAAATCCCCATTCCCTCCCCACTCCTGGGGGAAGAACATTGCAAAATCTTTATTCCCACCCCATTCTTGGTCCAGCCAGAGGTGGTATTTTCCGGTTCTCCAAACTACTCAAAATTTCCACTACCGGTTCTCCAGAACCTGTCAGAACCTGCTGAATTTCACCCCTGGTACAGGCCTAGTCATAGGTCATAGAAAGCACTAGTCACTTTAAAGCACTGTTTCTCAACCTAGGCCCGTGATGGAGAACCTATGGCACACATGTCACAGGTGGCATGTGGAGCCATTTGTTAGGGCATGTGAGGCGTTGCCCTATCAGCTCCAGCGTGCATGCGCATGCTGACCAGCTAACTTCGCCTTCTTTTTCTGCCATTTTCACCCTCTGGAGACTTTCCTAAAGCTTCTGGAGGGCGAAAAACCACCCAATGCGCAAACTGGAAATTCGGGAACGGACTTCTGGTTTGCCCGTAGGGCCATTTTTCGCCCTCCAGAGCCTTCAGTTCCCGAACTTCCGGTTTGCGTGTAGGGTGGGTTTTTTTTGCCTTCTGGAGCCTTCAGGAGGCTTCCTTCAAGCCTCAGGAGGGCGAAAAACGGCCCTATGGGCAACCTGGAAGTTTGGGAAAGGTGACTTCTGGTTTGCCCATAGGACCATTTTTTGCCCTTGGAATCTTCAGGAGGCTTCCTTGAAGCCTCAGGACGAAAAACGGCCCTACGGGCAACCTAGAAGTTTAGGAATGGTGACT